CAGTCTATTTGTTTTAATAACTTATTAAGACAAAATGTAAATAGGTACCTGTATAATAATAAAATGATAGAAACTTACAATAACGGTAACATCACTGCAACAGTCTATTGCAAGTCTGCTGATGAATAAGTTTTTAGTAATACTTTATTTGTCGACTAAATCAACTTATAGTACATACTCAAAACCCACTATCTATTTTTAGACAGAAATGTAGTCTATGTAAAAATTAACATAAATGAATATTCTTTAATGAAAATTTGGCAGGAATATCAAGCTTAATATACTTAATTATTACTTTGGCTGTGATCTTAATTGAAAGTAATGTTATTTTAGTGATTAAGTCCCGTCCCGCAGAACCACAAGCTTACAATGACTATTTATTGGTCGTACGGTTAATTATCAATTTACTTGCTTATCTGTTATCTTATAGCCACATGATCCAAGGTGAGCCACAAAACTTATTAATGATTTCTTATATTTACGCGAACACTACACATTGATTAAATTATCGCGTTTATTTTACTTTTAATTACTTTTATTTTTAATTCCCGATGTTTCGGACGCTTTCCAGCACCCATGGTCACGGGGGACTGAGATCACTGACGACTGACGGTAGGAATCGGTGTTCTTTCGCGAGCACCCAACCATTACATCAGATTTGATAGACCACAAATCCTCGCGAAAGAACACCGAATCCTACCAAGGATGATACGTGAGGCTATTGAAATTAAAAAACATCCTAATTTCAATAGAGTAGGAGGCTGGCTACTACCACCTGCTTGGGATCCTATAATCAATAAAATTAAAACTAAACCCAAGCATACCACTGCAAGACCTCAGGACATAAGTTCATTTTGCATAGATCGGACCATAAACAATAATTAAAAAAGCTGAAGGTACTCCAGGTTTAACAATGACATCAGGACGTCAGTCATCTCAGTCCCCCGTGACCATGGGTGCTGGAAAGCGCCCGAAACGTCGGGAATTAAAAATAAAAGTAATTAAAAGTAAAATAAACGCGATAAAATCCGTAAAAGTAGTTTTAATCAAAACTTATTACTAATAAAAATTATTACCATACCAGCCATCAAGACCTCTGATAAAGCAGTTAAACGTTCTCCAAAGCAATGAAGTAGTGAAGATGCAACGATGGTGAGTGTTATCCTTTCGTGACGGTGTTCGCGTGCACGGCATTCGTATCGGTATGCCCAGGCGAAACATCTGTTCCGTCATGGACATAATAAAGTGGTAACTTTTTTCAGTGTTTAATAAATGAAAATAAAACAAAATTATTATTAAACTGCCAATATAGGAGTCTGAAAATGTATGTATGTACCTATAATATAATTATTTTATTTTCTTAGTGGCCCATAGACATCTACATTTATCCTCGATTCGGATTCAAAATGCAGATGCGTTGTCACCCCTTAGGAGCAAGACTCACAGGCGACCCATAGCACAGAGTAACCTAGTTTGGGCTCCTGTCTCCCACAGCTACTCAAAAACTCTTTAACTATTGTAACTATGTAAAAAGTGGGAGAAATAAATGTTTATTATTATTGTGGTATTAGTAGTGTATTCTCATCTGGTTGGGCTGAATAAATATATAAAAGGAAATGATAAATATACATAAATATATATTTCATATACCGCAATAAATAATACATAAATAAATAAAAGCCCAACCAGATGGAGGCCCTCGGAAGGGGAGACCAAACGGCCGAGGGTTAGGGGGAAAGGAAGAGAAACCGGCGGACGATGCGGGCGGTATCGAGGAGCACCGCTTTCTGCATTTGAGCCTGGAGCGGTCCGTCACGGAGTCCCAGCCTCCTCAGATGACCCGAGAGGCTGACTGGGATTAGCCCGTTTGCACAAACGACTACAGGAATAATTTCAGTCGGCAGACCACCCCACATGTCGGTCACCTCGTGAGCCAGCTCCAGATATTTTGTTCGTTCATCTGTTTCGGCTTTCACGAGGTTCTCGTCATACGGAATGGTAATGTGGACCAAAAATATCCTTGACTGTGTCCGGTCCATCAGCACAATATCAGGCTTATTCGCCAGAATAGTCCTGTCTGTGATGATGACCCGGTCCCAGTAGAGCCTGGCGCGATCATTTTCGAGCACGGCTTCCTGCGAGTACTTGTAATACGGTAATTTCCGGTCCTCGAGACCGTATTTCAGAGCGAGCTCCTGGTGTAGAATTCTGGCTACTAGGTTGTGCCTGTGCAAGTACTCAGAGTTAGAAAGCGCCGAACAGCCGGAGATGACATGCCTAAGTGACTCACCAGGATGGCGACAAGCTCGACAGATGTCGACGGTGCCATCCTGTAGGATGTATCTCCGATAGTTGTTGGTCTTAATAACCTGATCCTGTATTGCACAGACAAAACCCTCGGTTTCCCCGAAGAGTTCACCAAAGCGTAGCCAGTGGAGGGAGGCTACTGCGTCTATGAAAGGCTCATGTAGAGCCTTATAGAACCTCCCGTGGAGCTCCTTCTCCTTCCATACGGTCTCCCGGTCGGAAGTGCTCTGCACTGCCGGGTCTTGCCATTGCTCGTTGGCTAAGGATAGAGGGGTAAGTCCTTTATCACAAAAAATGACGTCCTTATAGAATGGATCATCCGATCTCACCAGGAAGTAATTACGGAGGCTGCACACTTCGCGATTATGCATGGTGAGCGCGCTTAAAAAGCCACGCCCACCATGCTTTCGCGGCAAGTACAGCCTCATTACCGACGATCTCGGATGATGCATCCTATGGGACGTCATAGTAGTGCGGACTTTTCTATCCAGGGCGTTAAGTTCAGTCTGAGTCCACCTGAGTATGCCAAAAGTATACATGAGGACAGGCATGACCTTATAATTAATAATAATTATTGTTATTATTTATTATTATTATCACACTCACCATACAAAACACAGCAGTATTAAGCTGCTATTTTACGCCGGTATTCTGTAAGAGCGTGGTCCTTCCCCGGTAGAGCGGACCCATTCGAGCTTATACCACGATATAGCTGTTGCATGGCTCTACCATTTTTAAAAATCCACTTCTACTCACTATCGATGTATGCGATTTATTGCTGATAACATTATGTTTATTAATACTGAGCATCATTTTCGCTTAATAAATAAAACGTGATACGTGTAAATTTAGAATAACATTATTTATGCTATTAATTTGTTTATTGTATAATTACTTCCTTAAATTTTAAGACCTGTTCATAATTTTTACTTATAGATAATGATATTATATATAAATTGTTACCTTTGACTATAAGAATCAGGACATGGCAAATTTAAACAAAATTTCGGGTCATTTTCTAAAATATCCTTAGCTGTTTTCATTAATACTAAAAGAAGAGAGAGAGTACTAGATATGTGTACACTGCTAGCGCCTGTAACAAAATATTTTATTGGACACGCACAATTCTCATAACTAGGTAGGAAATATCTAGCGCAATAAAAACTATATAGAAATACTGTAACGAATTTAGCATGTTAAAATATAAGTAAAATAACTTCATGTTTGTATATTTATAATAAAATGATTTTAAGTTACTAACTAGTAATGTGCAGTCGCGGTGGTATAAAAATATTTTATACCACCGGTATAAAAATATTATTTTACGTTTAAGTTTACGTAATATTTTGTTTCTTAAAATTATTTCGATTAAGAGCCTTAGAGTTATGTCCTTTTGTATGATGTTAAAGGATGATATAAAGTAAAAAAAAGTAAAGTTACAGCCTATATGCGTCCCACTAATGGGCACAGGCCTCCCCTCATTTCTGAGAGGGTTTTAGGGCAAGGAAGTGTCCGCCGCGCTGCCCCAATGCGTGTTGGCGAACTTCACATGTCTTCGAAATATTTTTTTCTTATTCCTCAGACATGCGGGTTTCCTCACGATGTTTTCCTTCACCGCCGAGCACGTGGTAAATCAGCACTTAAAATTGCAATTAAAAATGTCATTGGTGCCGGTGGGGATCGATATAATATTAATTACTGCGCAAAAATTAATTTGATACAACTTGAATACCCAAGACAGGGCTAAATTCACTAGCTCTTATCCACCTGCTTCGCTGGCCCTAAATTGGATACGGAAAATATTCAACCCCACAAAAACATAAAGTTATGTATACTTATATAATTTTAAAGAAAATTTTATGTAGATTTTGGGGTTACTTATTATTTTTCAGAAGTCTTTCGTACTTGGATAAATGTAAATAAACATAAAAACCACCTTATTTCGCTGCTAGGTGTCGTATGCGGCGACTATGACATATTTCAAAAAGATGTTACGGCTGCCGATAGATGGTTTTACAAAAGGTGTAATATAAGCAGACCGGCGACGGCAAGAAGCGTCAAAGGTGCAAAACCTCTGCACTGCTATTGTCAATTAGCTTTTTTGTATAGAATAAGGATAATAAATAAGCACACAGTTCGCCTGATGTTAAGTGGGTGCTGTGGTCCATATACATCTACATTTATCCTCGTTAAGAATCAAAATGCAGATGTGCTATCATCCCTAACGACGAAGATGGAATGCCTCGTTTCCATTAAAAAGGGTCTTTGGTTCTCTACACTCACCATATGAAACAGAGTAGCATCAAGCTACTATTTTACGCTGGTATTCTGTAAGAGTGTGGTCTTACCCCGGTCGAGCCGACCCATTCATGTTACCACCACAATATAGCTGCAGCGTAGCTCTACCACGTATAACTTGACAAAAGTTACGGTTAAGGCAAATCCTCTTCACAATAGCAGAGGTCTACTTACAGCAGTAGACTCTTACGAGCTGATAATGATGATGAAGAAGAGTTAATCGACTTGTATGGAAAATTTGCTTACGATCCGTCCAAGCATAATGGAAGTACAAACATCCCAACAAACATGCTTTCACTTTAGTATATGAAATATATAAGGACATATCAATGTTAGCGGTTTTGTTTTTCAGAATATGTATAAGATAAGCGTTGTTTAATTTAATATACGCTTACCCAATTTAACGTTAATGTCTTGCGGATCCGCCGGATTGATCTCATAGACCGGTAAATCTCTTTCAGGAAAATATGGGTTGAAGCGATAAAATAGATATTCAAGTACGTTATCTTTTAGCATTTTAATACCTAAAATGTAAGTTTAGCCTTTAACTATCTCACTTAAATTTATTAATTTGTTTTATTATTCTATTTTAAAAACTAATGTAAGAATAACTAGAAGTTATGAAATACTAAAGAGTCGAAAGCGACGTGACTATAGCAAATCCGACTATAGCGATAACGGTAACTCGACCTATTGTTTTGTGATGTAAAAATTAAGCTGTAATCCTCAGATTAGAAAATGTTAATCTATATATTAAGCTATGAATGCATCGAATTATAATTACAATTGTTGACATCATTGCAGGCTAATAACAGGAGAATCTCCAGAAACGTAGGAAAACGGTGAATAGAGGCCACACATAACATTCTGACCGCCGTTTCGCACAAGCCAACCGCAGCGGGGAGGGTATGGCTCAGTCTGACGCTACCTTTACAACGCCTGCTGTCTGATGCTGACAGATGCCAGATTAAAGCTGTAGATACTAGATCAAAGTGATCGTCTTCTTCTAGGCGTATGAGGAGGTAGCCTGAAATATTGATAAATATGTGGATTTTTTAAGGAAGTTTTGGTGTGCCAATGTGCGTATAAAATGTCCTACACAATAATTATGTATAAATTATCCCTTTCTCGATTTTACCTTATCCAAAAACATTCTATGAAACGACTAGCAAACAACAGTATGTTAACAATAGAAAGTCGAGATCGAATTTAGAACGATATCGCTCTTGATTTAACCAAAAGTAGGGCAGGGTATCTAGTGGTCCGGCAACTCCATCGTGTCGGACACGCGCTTACTCCATAACTAAAGTGCCTCCAAAATAGAAGTGGAACTCCCTCGAGTACCATCGCCATCTTGTCCCCTTTTATTATAACAATAGAATTCTAACATTGAAAATCCGTGCGTGAACGATGCGCTTTCAAACCATAACATAAATAAATTCAATTGCGTATTAAACTGCTTTTACTGATAAACAACTTATCAAGAAGGTGTAAAGAATCTGAAAGTTAGACAAGTATATATAATACACTTTATACTCATACAGCTTTACTATAAACATTCACAGTTTTAACTATTTATGTATGTTAAAGTTGGTAAGAATTACTACGCCCATATCCGCTCAATATTGAGCGGATGTTAATATAACACACCTTACTTTTACTGTGTGTATATCAAATACTACTCACAGTAAAAAGCAGTATTATTTATTATTATTATTCAAAGAGTAGCCAAATTTTAAACTTAAGTTCAAATATATAAATAATGATATACCGTTTTTGAAAATACGAGTAAATAAGGTTTCTTACTTTTATTTGAAATTATCCCAAATTGAATATGATTTATGGGCATCAGTGTCAAAAATCAGCTAAAATAATGCGTTACACGCATTTAGAATTCAAAAGATAAAAAGGACAGAATGTCTGTGATTTTTTTAATTAATTTTTCTTCATTATTAGAATGAGTAATGTAGGCACCATTACTCATTCTAAACCTTCTCTGCAAATTTGGCCGATTTTTGCAAATTAACCCTGTATAGCGTAAATGCGTTGTGCAGAATGCTCTTGAGGCCAAGGATGGTAGGCCACGTTAATAACATAAACAGTAACATTCTGGTGCTGTTTTACAGTCTGTCTTTAGTTGAGCTGACTGACACGCTGCAAACGTAAGCTGTGTATTATCTTATTATGTTGTATGCACGTGCCATATCCTTCCCCTCTCTTCGGACCTCAGGTAATCTTATAATATACCAGCGCTAATTGTCTATTTCACCTTAAAGCACCAGGATTTCTTTTTCGATCTTCTCGCCGGTTCACGGGTTAACTTTTTATAGGATATGGTGAGAAACTAGAACACAGTCCATCTGATGGTAAGTGGTTGCTGTGGCCCATAGACATCCACATCTGTCCTCTATTACGAATCAAAATGCAGATGCGTTGTCACCAGTGAGGGCTAAGATGGAATGCTTCGTTTCCAGTAAAATCATACGAAACACAACAGTATTAAGTTACTATTTTACGCTGGTATTCCGCGGGAGCGTGGTCCTTCCCCGGTCGAGCCGACCCATTCGTGCCACAACTATACTACTAATATAACTGCAGCATGGCTCTACCACGCATAAAAACGCATCTAATGCTGCCAGGCCAAGACGCAACCGAACTTCCACGGAAGATTCTTAGCGCTCCCTGCCCCGAAGTTACCACGGTCGCTACCGCAGCCAGGAATGGCGGAAGCAAAGAGATTGGCGACCATTTATATACCTTTCTCCAAGGTTATATGTTATATATTCCATATATCCATTGTTACCACGCTTGACAGCTGACTGCGGTCGCCACCGCAGTTTTCGAGATGTTGTTGGCCAACTCCTGGCTTGTCTCCCTCTATGGCTCTTACGACACCCACGCAGATGACTTGTCAAGAGCTGTAATAATATTATGTTCTAACTGTGAAACTGTTTTTACTTAGTAATCATGATGAAGATGATTTCAGTGAGCTGGCCAATTCGCACTGAAGCACCTCCACTAATTTCACGAAAAAATTTTTGTCATCTTTTTCATACCATCGCCTTCCTAATTATGTTATCACTAATAAGATAACTCTATGTCCGTGAACAGGATATAATTAATTTCATAACGTATATCACATATACTAATACTGGTTTTCAGTGAACGTTCACTGCCGTTTCTACTGTTAGACTGTACGCTACTTACCCATGAAACATATGAATTTGCTGAGCGATTTAAAATATGTTATGATATCTGAAGATGCATTTAATAAAACAGGTTGACTCAAATTATGCAATAAAAGCGTAAATGATTCTTTGAACTGATTCCTTCTAGATATGTTTTCTACGAGGAAATCCAAAACTACGCATAGATTATCTAAAACATGAATTTTCTGAGCATTGTATAGGTTTAACTATTGTTTTATACTCATTACTTTACATAGTTTTTATTGTTGGAAGTATAACATAGTACTCTTATGCCGCGTTCGCACGCTCGGCACTGGCCGCAAACTCCAAATCTCTACAAACGTTTGGCATGATTTCGGGAATCAAACGTCGCCATCCATACGCTTGCGAGTGCGTTAGTTTATTTTAAAGAGGCAAGCATGACGGACAGCGAGGTTTTTGTGTCGGTCGTAACATTTAGCTTAAGTTATATTTATTACAAAGACAAAAGAGAAGTAAAAGAAAACGAAAAATACGACAAAGAAGACGGTGAATGTAAAAAAAATTCATAAATATCGTACCAGGTTGTTGTGAAATTATTCTATTATAGCTGCTTATTTCATTTTTATTTATTTTTTATAGGAGAGGGTACAAACGAGCATACGGCTCATCTGATGGTAAGTGACTATCGCCACCCATGAACAACTGCATCACCAGGGGAATTGCAAGTGCGTTGCCGGCCTTTTAGATAGGAGTAAGCTCTTTTCTTGAAGGTTCCTATGTCGTATCAGGCCGGAAAAATTGCCGGTGGTAAATTATTCCACAATGAAGTCGTACGCGGAAGAAAACTCCAAGTGAAATGTACAGTGGTGGACCGCCAAGCATTCAGATGGAGTGGATGGTATCGAGAGATATGCCGCGACGTGCGTTCATGAAATTTGGCGGCCGGAATTAATCCCGTGTTAGATGCGAAAGAAAATGCAGCATCTCTTCGCAGTGCCAGTGAATCGAACCGATCAGAAAGCACTCGGTCGTCGACGATTCGAGCTGCTCTGCATTGGATGTAGTCAAGTGCCCCAGTCCAAAGATGGGAACAGTATTCCATGTGAGGCTAAACCTGCGCCTTGTGTTGCAGGCGGTGTGCCGGCATGAAATACTGTCTCGCTGTGCTGAGCCAAGCGTTTACGAGGCCAATTTGGACTTCTCTTCCAAGTGACCACGAAACTGCACGTCACTCGATATGTTGACGCCAATTCCGAAGAGGGTTCCAATACTGGTTGAGGCAACAAGGGGAGTGCCTTGAAACTGAGGAGATACGACAAAGGGGTTTTTTATAGCAACATGTGTCTGAGGATTAAACTAGACTAGATTTAGTCGCCCCCAATCCCAGACTATGTTCAGCAAAGACTCGACTTCAGACATACGTTTGTTCCGGTACTCGACGACATGCCAATATTTCTCGGTTTTCTGAATATATACAGTTGGTGTATATAGCATCATCAGAGCTGTCATCCGCATAGCAATGAATGTTACCGGTTTGAAACATATCATTTATATGCCCTCCCCGACTCGAGCCGACCCATATGTGCAACAGTAAAAGCTGCCGCATAGCTCTACCACTGTTACCACTAGAGTGCCCACAAACGTGTAGACTCGTCGCAAGCGATTGCGGCAAATTGCCTTTGATTTGTGACAAAAAACCGGCACTCGACGGATCGGCTACAAGCGCCTGAAAACCAAGCCAAGCACTATCCACACGTTTGAATTTGTGACGGCTTGTTGAAGTTTGCCAAGCGTGCGGATGCGGCGTTATATATTTAATTAGCATTAAAAGTTGCTACATAAAAATAAATGTTTTCATCTTTGATTATAGACATGTATATAGTCATGACATGTTGTATAATAAATACACGAGAAAAGAAAAAAAACTGCGAACTCGTCTGCCACGTGTGGTAACTATGGAAAATATCCGACCCCATATTATCCCGTGAGTATAACAGGAGGCGACAGGGTGAAATTAAACCGTAGATAGGCTTCTTCTATCTTGACTGTGTGACTCCTAAATGTATCTACAATGTTTTTCAGTTTGCATATAAAGCAGCATTTACAGAAAACTTATTTATTACCAATAATAATAACAATTAAATTTGTAATGTATTTAAAAACGTGATATTGAAATAATTATACATAATCGTAAATATACTGATATTTTTATTTAATATTAGGTATATGATTGAGTAACAAAGTACACCGATGTAATTCTGTAAATTCCTCACATATATATTTACGAGGATGATAATTACGAAATACTTTATTTAAAAAATACAAAGACGTAATATAAATATCTCGAAAATAATAATAAAGTCCCCAAAGCCAAATTTGCTTTACAATGGCTAGTCTTAACGAAGACTAGCCTTCGGTGCAGAACAGTACTATAGTGCACGAGTGTCTTCTCAAGTACTGGTGTACTCTCTACTCGCACTCTCATAGTCCGATGGGACCGCAATCCGACAAGGCCGGAGATAAATTAGACGCAGAATCAACGTCTTTACGTGCTTTATGGGTCACGGGCACGAAAACGCCACCAACTTATTGACATCGGGCCGCTACTGATAATTTTTTACAGAAAGAACCAAGAACCGATTTTGAGCCTTGATGAAGCATTTGCGTTTACAATCACCAGACAAACGAGTCTCGAAATTAAACATCATCGTCTTAATAGTATAACAAAAAATATTTCCGAAGTCAAAGTATTTTGCCATAATATTAAATTTTTAACACCACTTTGTAAACCCTCATCAGTCATAATCCTAAACTTTATTACTTAAAACTTGCACATATTCCACATATTATTATAATATCAATTAAAAATATAATTTTATATTTCAAAGATGAAGATAAAATCTTGGACAGACATGCAAATACTTTCTCTCAATGCTACATAGTATCTATTTTACATATCATATCATGGGAGCATGGGAACAGACTAAGAGTGACAATGAATCTATTACCTGGTTATATTTCATGTGAATTTCTTAATTAGCAACCAAAGAGAATGTAATCACTCGGTTTAGTAGCAACCATTCACTTTTGACGTTAACGCAATGATATGAAAAAGGATACAAATCCAAATTTGGAAATTTTGGCAAATTCCTGTAAGTGACATTGTAATCTTTCAATATGTTGATTAGCAACTTGATCTCTCACCATGAAGTCTAGTGACTTAGCGATATCCCATTCGGCAGTAGATGGACATTGATTAATCCATGCCTCATCTGAAATTATTGTTTATTTAGTCGCGTAGCGAAATTATTGTTAAGGCGCGTGAAAATCACAAATATAGTATTTATCATGTATATCACCATACATTTCATTGGGTTTGGTTTTTTTACAGACTCTAATGTCTGTTGTTGTTAGGAATCTAAAGCGGAACATGACACATTGATGAACACATTTGAAATTTATACTTACATGGATGTCTACACGCATGTTTGTATAGCTATTAACAGTTTATTCGAGACGTAATTTCATAATAAAAATACATAAAGTATTTCTAAAATTCAGAAGATTGAATTGCGCCAATTCTCATTGTTTTAAAAATATTAAGGAACAAAGTAGCTAAATTACTATAAGTTTAAAACTAGTAACTAAGTAATCTTAAATTTGATTGCGAATATAAGAAAAATAACTGAAAACTTTGTAAAACAAAAGGCGCTGCACTGCTTACGGGTCAAGTTAGTAGCACACGAGAAATTATTTCAAAAATATATGGCAACAGATTTAAGGTTATGTAGGTGAAGGAAAGTTCATTCTAACAGCAATAGAAGGACTAGCATTTTATAGTTTATGGCATGTTTACACTTTCTTAATCAGTACGTGTCTTTGATAGGTACGATTTATAATAATTTACGTACTTTCTTTCTTAAACGTTTTTGGAATTCTACAAATAAATCATTTGTTTTTTTATATGATAAGGGTGACAAACCAGCACACAGTCCACCTGATGGTAAGTGGTTGCTGCGGCCCATAGACATCTACATATATGCTCGATTACGAATCAAATTGCAGATGCGTTGTCACCCGTGAGGACTAAGATGGAATGCACGAGGCATTCCAGTAAAAAGGGTCTCCGGTTCTCTACACTCACCATACGAAATACAGCAGCATAAAGCTACTATTTGCTGGTATTCTGTGAGAGGCTTATGTTCAGCAGTGGACTTGTGAAGGGCTGTATTGATAATGAATGATTCTGTGAGAGCGTGGTCCTTCCCCGTTCGAGCCGACCCTATCTTGCTGCAACTATACTATCAATATAACTGCAGCATGGTTCTACAACGTATACTGCAGCATGGCTCTACCACGTATACTGCAGCATGGCTCTACCACGTATAAGTTTTTAGTAAAAACTTATACGGGTTAGAGGTTTTAGCATTTACTTTAAGTTTATTTCGATGTATGATAATTTTAAGTGTACTATGAATTTATCTTAATCATTAGCTTCTTATAGTTAAATAGCTTTTATTTACCTATTTGTATGGGGTCAATTATTTTTGTAAGAAATTTATTCAATAATTTCTTTTCAGAATATTGTTTTTCCACTGGTCCGTGATCGCATTTAAATGTTTCTGATGACCCATCAGAAACAGTTTCCGTTGATATTATTTTTTCCATAATTCCAGTATACTGATTTCTTTTAAAGTACTGCGTGTTTGAAGTACTACTTTGCATGTTGTTATAGTTTATTTTCGCTTCGTCGTATGACGTATTTTTATGATTTTGCCTTACAGACTCAGTATTCGACAAAACGTGATATGAACGTTTTTTCATTCTAGCATTTAATTAGTATATACACTTGCCGTATCCTTTTTTACTTTTTTCATTTGATTAACGTTGAAAGTAAATTCCAAAAACTTTATTTGTTATAATTTGACATATTCTGACATTGACACAAAATAAGAAAAGTTTTTATAACTTAATCTGAAAAGTAGCTTTGTAATATGCAATGTAAATTTTAACTGATATTAGTGACATTTTTGACACTGGCGTGTATCGCAGCAGCTGGCGGGCTGGCGCTGGCGGAGCGAATCGGTCAGCTCCCCTACGCGTATGCTGTTAAATTGTCCGGCCTGAGGGACCTACGGAGCGACGCTCACCTCACTCACTTCAGTTGCACGTCGGTCACGCTCGCTCGTAGATGCGTGCCGCGGTTTTACTATTAATCTTGTCGAGGTTCCACACGTTGATTCATAAGTTTTCGGCACAAGAAAACCAAGTGAAATATTCATAAGTTAAGTGTGGACATAAGTTGTGAGTGTATTCATATTTTTGAATTCAGCCAATAAATATATTTTGGTGAGTGTTCTAAATAATTATTTTCTTCGTGCCGTAGGCGATGTTTCGTTGCATTTTTGTTGACATTTTTGTAAATAAGGAATGCTGAAAGTTATTAAATGGTATAATTAATATAATTTGCTTTCGGAGTCTTAAAAACACAAACTGCGGCACTTAGATTAAAATGAAAATAGTATACATAAGGTGAACGAAGACATAGAAAAACAAGAGTATAATTATTGCTATATAACGAATGACAGGTGTATGAATGAAGGAGTTGATGCTTTAATGCGATGGTTAATGGGTGTGACGCAAGGACCACTTGTTGTATTTGAAATCGTTCTGTAAACGAACTAAACTTTGTGATCAATTTTTCTGCTTTAAAGTACAACTATAGTGCAATTAGAACAAATTTGTGATTTATTAAATCATTCATCCTTTATAATATATCCTACTGTGTTTTTGTATTTTGAAGTTTCCTGTTAGACTGCTCAAATTAAATATATCAATGCATTTAATGATAGATAGGTCTATCATGAAATGCATCTATATATTACATACAACTTTCTGAGCATTCTGCTCACAGCAGTATTGTGTAGTCATTGAGTTATAGAAAACATAAATCAATGTGTATAGTATCTATTTTGTTCATTTAAAATGAAATGCTTTACATAAATATATAATTTCTCACGCCTGTCAGCCAGAAGGCTAGGCGGAAATTATAAACCTCCATTCGGCAAGACACACTGACACTGCTGTCTCTCCTGATCTCCTCTCTAAAATAGCACGGAGTCATTGTGACTCAATGAGTCTGTATTAGGTATTTTAGAGTTTAGAGAGAGTTTAGATTTTGGAGTCCTTGAGTCATTTATTTAAAATTTGGTATTATTTTGTAACTAGAACATTTTCTTACATGTAAATGAAATTGTTTAGTTACATTGTGTGTATAATCTTGAATATAATTAATTGTTTCAAAGAATATTATTATAATTTAATAATTTAACGCTATATACTCAATACAAGTGATTTAACTGTTTAATTTACGAGATAAATAGTTATAATAAGCAATACCTTAGGGCAATAGGTCATGTGGAACGACTTTCTTCATTCCATATTAAAAGTGAATATTAAGTTTATTTTGTAGGCACGGAAATCTTTCCTAAAATGTGGAAAAATCATCGATTACACTTTCCACACTGTTTCCTCATATATCTTTCAGATAGTAAACTTTGTCAAGCATTTACTGCCTACAATCACTTGACATTTCAAGTTGCGCTGTGTGCGGGTGCGAGTGCGATCAGCTAGATAGCATAGGTAGGCAATGAGTTTGTTGTCGTTACGTAATGGAAGATATTAAAAGTTGATTACCTATAGCAACACGGCACTACTGCAAAACCTTAATGTGGATATATTATATACTTTTTACGTTGATGATTTATTTGACTATTAGACGTGAATTGTATTCAATTTCTCATTATTTCTCTTTAACAGATTTTCCTACAATTAATTCTCTAATCTAATATCTTTAAAATTTAGTTCTGTATTCTAATTACGAACATACGTGGTAGAGCTACGCTGCAGCTATATTATGGTTGAAGCACGAACGGCTCGCCACGACAGGGAAAAGACTACGCTCTCACAGTATACCAGTGTAAAATAGCAGCTTAATACCGCTTTGTTTCGTATGGTGAGTGCAGCGATCCGGAGACTCTTTTCTACTGGTACCGAGACATTCCATCCTAGTCCTCAGAGGTGACAACGCAATCTGAGTTTTGATTCTTAATCAGAGGATAGATGTAGAATGTAGATGTCTGTGGGCCACAGCATCCACTTATAATCAGGTGGACTGTGTGCACGTTTGTCATCTGTATTCCATAAAAAGTTAAGAATTTAGGATCAATTTTTGTCGATCAATTATTTAAAAAAAATATAAATTAAAAGTATGAAAACATATGTGATTTTTTTAAATAAGTGTAAGTAAGCCTTAACCGTATAAGTTGAAAGAAATAATTAAAGATATGGTTTGTTACTGAGTAGTGACGGTGTAAGAATATTTACCCACTATACCATTTCCTCCCATGGGTGTCGTAATATGCGTCATAGGGAAATTGTAACAGGTGTTGGGCAGCAGCATATGCTTGCATATAATGTCACCTCTACACGTTGGCCAACACAGTGGCGAATGTCGCCTCTACACGTTGGCCAACACAGTGGCGAATGTCGCCTCTACACGTTGGCCAACACAGCTCGAATGTCGCCCCACCGCAGGGCAATTCGCCCACCAACACAGTGGCGAATGTAGTGGCGAATATATTGGCCGAGAGTTGGTGACGGCGTCCACACGTTGGAAGGTCGTTCAGTTTACTTCGGTTCGGGCCAATGTGCGGACGAATTTATTTTATTATAGACGACGGCTCCGTGGCGCAGTGGCTTGGCAATGAGTGGCTGTCCCAGGGGTCGCGGGTTTGAATCCCGCACGAACAATAGATATCACAAATAATTTCGGGCATGTGTCTCGTGAAAGTTTGAGTTGCCATGGGGAAAAAAAAAAAATATTAATGGGGCTGTAAATAGATATACGATATACGATTAGCTTTATTTATTCTTTACATGCATCAGAAACTGGAATAAATACCATTAATTAGAACTTAACTTATTTTAAAGTTAAAGGAGTTATAATCGATTAGTCTATGTTTTAAAATTGGGTTTTGTTTTTAAAGTTTAGCAAAACATGTACTTGCTTTTCTATCAGACATTTGATGTAAGGAGAGGGTGACAAACGAGCACACAGTTCACCTGATGGTAGTGTTTGCTGTGGCCCATAGACATCTACATCTATCCTCGACTATGAATCAATATGCAGATGCGTTGTCACCCATGAGGACTAAGATGAAATGCCTCGTTTCCTTTAAAAAGTGTATCTGGTTCTCTACACTCACTATACGAAATACAGCATCATTAAGCTACTATTTTAATTGATATTCTGTGAGAGCGTGGTCCTTCCCCGGTCGAACCGACCCATTCGTGCTACAACTATACTTCTAATATAACTGCATGGTTCTACCACGTATAAACGACGTGCTTCATTTTTTTTTCACTATAAAATTGTTCTCGTAATAATCTGATTGTAAATAAATGTTCATTATTTTTTTTATAAATAGCTTATCGATTAAAACAAATGTTTAAAAATAATTAAATCGCGCTAATTAAAGTAGTAGGAATGTTTAAAGTTGAAATTGGCACTAAAAGACTAGTAATTGGGTCATCCACCCTACAAAGCGTGAATATAAAATTTTAATCAGATGCGTGTAATCATTCTGGGAGCTTGTAGCAAACTAAACTCGCGGCCAACGTGTGGACGCGGCGACCAAACTCTGCCAACAATCCTTTGATCTTTTGTAAAAAACCGACACCACACGGATCTCGCGCCAACTTGCGGGCCATCGTTCCAATACATACCAATGAAGCCCAAACACCCCGTCTACACGTTGGCCAATGCTATTGGCCACTACATTCGCCACTGTGTTGGCCAACGTGTAGAGGCGCCGGAATGGAGTGGCGAATATATTGGCCGAGAGTTGGTGACGGCGTCCACACGTTGGAAGATCGTTCAGTTTACTTCGGTTCGGGCCAATGTGCGGACGAATTTATAAGCACCGTGGCGCAGTGGCTCAGCAATGAGTGGCTGCGCCGGGCGCCGCGGGTTTGATCCCGCACGGAACAAGTATTTGTATGTCCTACAAATAATTGTTTCGGGTCTGGATGTGTGCCCTTGTGCAATTTATGTTTGTAAACTGCCTGCGCGATACGGGAGAAAATCCTAGTGTGGGGTTAACGTTTTTATAAAAGAATTATAAAATAATAGTGGATATTAATGGGGTTGTAAATAGATATACAATATACGATTAGCTTTATTTATTCTTTACATGCATCATAAACTGGAATAAAAACCATTAAGGGGATAGAGTAAGTCAGCTCAAATTCTAATTTCGTCCCCACTTGCCCGCGCGTCGTATGCTATGTACCGACACGTTTGTAATCACTAATACTGTAAGTAGAAAGGTCGTTAGACACTTATTTCATTAGGTTTATCATATTTATGCCTGTTTCTTAACGCCAAGCCAGTCGCGTCTTATTTTTATTACGGTTATTTCCCATTTTAATTTTACGTCGTCCTGTTGCGTAATGTATATTCTGATCGTAAGCGACACAACCTCCCCGTTCAAAGGCCGAAGCGAAGTGACCGTGCGGCAGGAATCAGGCTTCAAAAGGCGATAGTTTAGGTAATTTCTTTTTACAGTGAAAATAATGGTATTTAAAAAAAAGTAAATAACATAAGCACTGCTTTATAGTTAGTTCAGTTAGTATGCAAAGTTTCATGATCTTATTTAAAGTATTTTATGAATAACAGCGGTTTATTGTTTATTTTGGAGGTAACTTTGGATTTTTTTTTCTATCGAGAAAATTTTCCGAAATCGTGTTTTCGTCTAACATAATCCTTAACATTAATCCTCAACTTTACCATATATTTATTTCAAAATTAATGCTGCAATATTTTCGGCATAACGAAGGATCTTGCTAAGCCATTTGAGATTATATTTCCCCTTAATAAGAACTTAACTTATTTTAAAGTTAAAGGAGTTATAATCGATTAGTCTATGTTTTAAAATTGGGTTTTGATTTTAAAGTTTAGCAAAATATGTACCTACTTACATTTCTATCAGACATTTGATTTACATAAAAAACACCTTATAATTTATTTGGTAATTTAATTATTTTTTGAGAAAGACAAAAACAATAGCAATAAATATAATTAACACTGACTTAATAATAGGTACTAATTATAACTTAGAACATAAATGAAAAACTCATGACGAGCAAAGTGGCTCAGGACCATGCTTTGCGGCTGTCTGTGGAGGAGGATGTTCAGTAGTAGACTTGTGAACAGCTGTAATGATGATGATGATTCGAAATCTTGCACGATTAAATTATAAGAAATCGTCGTTTTTTTTATAGGATAG